GAAAGATCACTTAATATGAATCCACTTAAGGCAGTAAGGAAAATTTCATGGCAAAAAGTAAAAAAAGAATTTGCTTTTCCTTTGACTATGACTTTCAACTCTTCTATTAGAGCCAAACTTAAGCTTTAATATTTGCATGCAAGACAACTAGAAAAATGAAGTCATTTTAATATATCAATTTCTCGTTACAATTTGCCTATCAACTGGACATAATGCATGAATTGTAAAACCTTGCAGGATGTTCAGTTTTTAGGCAAATGCTGATCTAACTAGAAAGGCCAAACACAACAGTGTTAATTTAATGATACAATTCAGAGACCAGAAAAGCCCTAAGAAAGCTAACATAACTTTATTGTTTTTACACATAAGGATTCCCCAAGCCCAGAGAGTTTAAAGATTGCTATCACACGGAAGGTTGATAATAATAGAGCTGGGCCTAAAACGCTGATCTTAAAAATTACAGTAAAGATACAATAGAAAACTGAACTATAACCATGATGCTAGCTGAAAGAACAGCCACCCAAGTGTACAGAGGTCCAAGCTTCAATCAGGGCCAGGCTTTCCTGCTGTCCGATTTATTAGCACAGCTGCCAACAAAGGAGCAGGTGCAATGGTGAACCCTGTAAGTAGTCTGAAACAACACTCAGATCTCAATGCAGTTCATTCACTGAAAAATCTGACTTATTTCAAATCCAAAAAATGGAGACTGCAAAGCATTTACAGTCCACCACCACACAGCCTCAGAATAGTCTTTCAGCATCAAGATCAGTCATTCTTACCTAGAAAAGCATCCTCTGTTCCTATAAACCAACCATACTTCAAATACATTTTTATTTATTGTACTGAGCATCACACCCAGGGCTGTGCATGTGCTAGACAAGCACACTCTACCACTGAGATACACTCCCAGCCTGGGCCATGTATATTTAGAACTGTAATGTGACTTTAATTTTTTTAAAAAGTTCTTTTCTTAGTAGGTGGGTTCTGAACATGACACACACCAAAACGCACCTGTTTCATAATCCAGAGGAATCTGAATATCTGTGATGTCGCCAAAAGGAATAAAGGCAGCATGAAGAACTTTGTCGTCCACCTCTTCTGCCAGCCCTCCTGCAAACAAGTCCAGAGCTTTCTGAGCCACTGTCCTCAATAATCTTGCAGAAGTCCTTGCAGCCAATTAGCATGCAGGCCAAGGGAAGGGATCTTTCCACCTAGTCCTTTGGTCACACAGACATCTCTCATCTGCTGCCCACTCACACATACGAAGCTAATTCCATTACCTTCTTTCAGCCTCTCATCTCCAGGATTCCTGCAATAGCTTCGTAACTACTTCCCTGTTTCCATTCCCTGTCAGCTCCACAAAGCAACCCAGAGAGCTCTTGGGAAAATGCAAACATGAGCCCATCATCTCTGCTTAAACTCTCCCAAAGGTTTCTCACTGTCCCTGGACAAAGTGCAAATTCCTTAACCTCGTACACAACATTCCTCTGTGTGTACAGAGCCTTTCCACCTCTCTTGTATCCGTATCTTTTACTTTGTTTTCAATTCCCCTGGGTTTCCTGAAAAATAACCCACTGCTCCCGGGCGTCCGACCTTTTAACACCTTTGGGCTTCTGCTCCTGCCGCAGTAAACAGTTTTGTCTCTACTTGGCTTCCTGGCTAACTTCTCATCAGCTTCGGCGTCACGGCACCCACAGTTTGTTTTCACCTCTCCTGATGAATAGGTCGCTTCTTCGCGCACCCAAGCCCGTTATCCTCATCAGTCCCCACCACAGCGCTTATCAAACTGTGAGACTGACACTATTAGTATGGAAACTCCTGCCTCAAGAGCAGGTGCAGGGGCTGCGCCACTGCTGCACCACATGTATATACAATGAGTGGGCGCGAGGATTCGGGAGACCATAATATTGTTCTACGACTTCTGCCGGCCCTGGTGGACCTTAGCGGACTAGGAGTAAGGCTGGAAGGATCGCTCCTGTAGTGGGGCAAAACTGTACTGCCACAGACCCGGCCTCGACTGTTGCTCGCCGCCCGCCCCATCCAGAGACGTGTCCCTCCCCACGTCCCTCTCCCCTAGGGACCGATCCGCCCAGACTCCGCCTAGCTCCCGCGCCTGCTCACCCACGTACAACACGCGCTTGGTGGTGGCCATCTTGCTCTCGCGCGCTTCCGCCGGAAGTTGGTGTTAGACCCACCCACCCCCTTCCCGCCGCCTCGCCCCCTCCGATCGCCGCGCCCATTCACACCGCGCGCAGACGCCGCCCAGTCTCGCCGTGCTCGCGCGCTGGGCTGGTTCCTCTCGGCGTCCCGCGCCGTGAGAGTGCCGGGTGCTGGAGGACGTGCGTGAACCTGGCCCTCCCCGGGCCGGCGGTGTTATGGGAGTTAAACCTTGACCTAGACAGCAAAAATATTATCAGCAAATGATCCACTACAACTAACCTATGACTCACGGACCACCCGCCGCCTATTTTTTGACAGCCCAGGAGCTAAGAATCTTTTCTACCTTTTGAAATAGTTGGAGCGGGGAGGAATGAAAACAATAATACTTAGTAACACATGGACTTTTTGAACGTAAAGTATCATTGCCCTAAAGTTTTATTGGAACAGCCATGCTCATTGCTTTAAGTACTATTGTCCGTGGCAGCTTCACGCTACAGGGGCAGGAGACTTAATGGTCTACAAAGCCTACGATATTCATCATGCGACCCTTTAGAAAAAGAATTTGCTGACCTTTGAGCAAACCATCTAGTACATAAATCCCAGACTGACATAAGTGGTAGAAAATAATGCGGCCATCTATTTTAGATAGAGTAGGGTGTGAAGATTTCCCTGAAGTAACATTTAAAATGAAATGTGAAGGAAAAAGAGGGGCTAACAAGAGGAGCAAGTATGTAAAAGAGTTCAAAAAGAGGCGGCCAGTGCACACTCAGGGAATGAAAGGAAGTGGAGAACCTGGAATCTCTCGTGAGCTAAGCCCTTAACCAGCCAGGTCTGCGTCAGCTCAGAATTGAGTTGAATTGAATAGCTGGGCACCCACTTTGTGTCACAGGATTGCAAAACTGATTGGCATAAGGAAGAAAAACACAGTGGGTAACAGTTGTTTGCCCTTTATAATTTACATTCCTTCCTTTCTCCTTACTCACTTCAAATGACAGGTAAGGCACAAAGGCAAATTCTCTTGACTGCACCTGAATATCCAAGGTCGCCACTTCTACCTTCCAAGCTGAGAGCCAAAGCCACGGGGTCTGAGAAGCAGCTTGCCTTGGAGTGGAAAGACTCAGGGATTCCAGCAGCCTTCATAGCATGGAGCTGCCCTTGTCCAGCAGATTCCTATGATCTTTCTAGCCAGGCTTAAACATTACTGGATAGAAGAGCAAATGTTCTGCTGTGGGCAGAACAGTTGATAAAAAGCCAAGTCAAATCCTAGCGAGGAATGAACCCTGAGCACCAGCTTCTGGCCCCTCTTCTCCTGAAAGCACCTGGGGCACCCAGATCTGCTTCTGCTCCTGGCAGTACAGTGGCCAGGATGGAGGTGGACAAGAGCTCCCACCCTGCTTGTGGGCCACAGGCTGGGGTGGTTGGGAACAAGGGGAGGCAGTGGATTATCACTAAGGGAAGGGCACTGCATGATCAAGGATAGGACTCTTGACAATTTGACACCTGAACGGTACCACTCCAAATGCTAGGAGAAGGAGGAGAGGAAGCAGCAACTTCTGATCAAATTCAGTCTATGTTGGGAAGTGGTGCTAATGTAGAACTTATCTAAGTTCTCACATATATTTGTGTGTATGTAAAATGCAGCACAATTAGAAAGGAGGTGAAATGAACTATTCAGAACATTCAATATCAGGCCTTATGCTGGGGAGGTATTTCCATAGACATGTAGTCTATGTCCAGCACTGAGTAAGCTTTTTCAGGTATAGATTAGCACCCTATTTTATGCATGACACCCAGTGATGTCAAGCAGTTTACTCACATTAGCAAAATATTCATCCAATTTGTTTATGCAATATGTAGAGCTACAGTAATTATCTTTCACTTTTCTCTAAAGACCACCTTACCTTCTTTAGAAAGAGTCTCAGAAGTGACTGAGTTAGAAGGTATGAATATCAGAACAGTAAAAATGATTGTATACCATACTCTGTCTCATTAAATACTGCAGAAATGTTAGCACATGACGTCAATGATGAGCTCAGGACTAGAAGCAGACCCCTGAAGACAATAGGAAGGATTCATCTTTTCACACGGTGTTAATTTTTGGAAATTCTCATCTGTAGAGAGCTTCAGTTAGGTGAACTGAATGGAAGAGTGGGAAGCATCACTTTCCTTTATTTTCTAAGGGAGCGGTCAGACATCACAATCACACTTAGCACAATTTGTATTTGTATTTGCTTTTTACATCCCCTTTGCTTCCTCCAAAGAAAAAGCATTCTGAGAGCAAGGACCATGTCAGTTTGTTTATCCCCTGTAACTCCAGCCTACGGTGCATTGCCTTGGCATTTAGTAGAGTTTTAATATCTGATGAATGAAGCAGAGAAAAGCTTCTTTTAAATAACGTGGAAATGGAAAATTCTATTCTTAGCACATTGGGTGCTTTTGCCTCCCCCACAGAGGCTGAGTCATAGGCCACGGGCTGCCAACATTGGAGGTGCTTTTATGCAGAGCAGCAGCCCAGGTAGGAGTAGCAAGGATGGTTGTGGTGGCTCGGGTGCCAAGGGCTGCACGGTAGTGGGCTCCCCAAAGAAAAGAGTACACCAAACTGAAGCCCACTGCACTTGGCAACCTAGTCTTCAGGAGTCTTTTCCTGATCCATAACCAAGGCAGTGTTTGTTCTGGTAGTAGGAGACAGAGATGTCCAAGTCTGCCAGACCCTGGAGCTGGAGGCCGCATTTCCTGCCTCACATTATCATCTCACAGCGCTGGACTCACCAATGCCCCGGACTCTTGTCTCCTAGGGGTGACTGGTTCCATATCTTCAGACAGTGGTCCTAAAGCCTGAGCCTGCATCAGAATCATCCAGAGCTTATTCAAGCACAGATATGTCTGGGCTCCACTCCTGGCTGATAGAATAAGAAGAATGGGTAGAACCAAGAATGTTCATATCTGACAAATTTCCAGGGACATGGAAGCTGGTAGCCTGGGGACCATGATTTGAGAACCACTCTTTCTTTTTATTTGTTTGTTTGTTTGTTTTTTGTTTTTGTTTTTGTTTTTTCTTCTGGTATTGGGAATCGAACTCACAACCTTGCACTTGCCAGCCAGGCGCTATGCCACTGAGCTAAATCCCCAGCCCCGAGAACCACTCTTTCTAAGGAAAGTCATAGCACATTAAGAACAGAGCAGCAGAAGTAGTCCATTCTGGGTGTGAACAATAAGGGGGTGTCTGTAGCGCATTTTAAAACAACAATAAAGGAACTTAGCAGGGCATAGTGTCGCACACTTGTAATTCTAGCACTAGGGAGCAGGGGAAGAGCTGAGGCAGGAGGGTCTATGAGTTTGAGGCTGACCTGGGCTACATAGTGAGTTTAAAGCCAGCCTAAACTGCATAGTGAGATTCTGTCTCAAAAAACCCAAAAAAAAAAAACAAAACAAACCAACATTTTTTTCCCCCAAGGCTTTTGAAATTGACTAACTGTACCTGACAAATCATTTAAAAAGGCTGAGCTTCAGGCAAGAAGGTCAGGACTGTCATTCTTATCTGGGGCTGCTCGCATCTCTCCCCTCCCCGACCAGCACAGCCAGTGTGGCAGTGCTCTCCTAGCAGGGCTGTTTGTGCAAACCAGCAGTTGTGCTGCTGATGCTGGAAAAAAGCAATTTGACTTAGAATGCGGGGCAAAAACCATGCCCAAGTTAGTTTTTTTTGTTTGTTTGTTTTGTGGTGCTGGGGCTGGAAACCAGGACCCCAAGCATGCTAAGCAAGCATTCTAACACTAAGCTACAGCCCCAACTCATGACAAGTGGTACTGTCAGTAAAAATAGTAACTCTATAGGAATTGAATGGAGAAAACCCTGTTTTGTAGCCTAAGTTGTGGAAATGAAGATGGAGATCTTAGATATGAAAAAGCTGTGGAGGCGCTGGATGAGCTTCTCTCACATGGCTGCCCTGAAGGCTGCATCACACACATAATCATAAGGCTTCCTGGTGGACTTGGGTGTGCACAGTTGCAAGGAAGTGCTCAGAAGGCCCATTAGAAAAGCAAAGCCTGTGGAGGACTTGAAACTACCTGAACTTTCAGTGCACCCTGAAACCCACACACAGATTTATAGGCAGAGTGGAAACTTTACTGGCACTAGGTATTTGGGCAAAACCTCTGACTAATCACTGGTTTACCACTAAAATTTTTAGACACAAGGATGGCCAGTGGGAAGCCAAGATAAATAATAAAAATAAGAATTAAAAAACAACAACTAGCCAGATGCGGTAGCACATGCCTGTAATCCCTGCACTCAGGAGGCTGAGGCAGGAGGATCACTGTAAATTTGAGGCCAGCCTGGGCTACATAGTCAATCGAAGGCTAGCCTGAACTGCAAAGTGAGAGCCTGTCTCAAAAACAACAACAACAACCAAGAATCATAACTCTAGAACAAATGCCCGTAGACAGATTCTATAGATTTACTCCAGGCAATTACAAAACATCAAACAAAAACAACAAACAAGTAACAGAAACAAGCCTCAGGGGAACAAAATCACAATCTACTGTTGTTACAATATATTATTTTAAATGTCCTGTTCTCACCAAAAAATATATGAAACATGCAAAGAAACAGGAACACTCATACTCAGAAAAAAAAGCTGTCAATAGAACTATCCCTGAATAAGCCCAGATATTATATTTAGCAAAGACATCAAAGCAACTATTATAAATAAATTCAAAAAATTAAAAATAACTTTAGAAAATTAAAAGATGACAGTGACTCAACAAATAGGAAACCTTATGAAAGAATTATACAAACTATAAAAAAGAATCAAATGCAAATTCTACAGTAAAAAAGTAAGCAAAGGAAGAATTCATTAGATGGGCTCAACAGCAGATCTGAGATGGCAGAAGAAAAAACAATCAGTGAGCTTAAGGATAGTAGAACAGAAACAATTTATTTTTTTTTTTTTTGTTTTGTTTTTCTTCTGTAGGAGGAATCGAACTCATGACCTCGTGCTTGCCAGGCAGGCGCTGTGCCACTGAGCTAAATCCTCAGCCGAAGAAACAATTTAATTTGAAGAATTTAACTTGGAACAGACCCTCACCGATCTGTGGTACAATGTCAAGCATACCAACATCTGTGTGACAGGAGCCCTGGAAAGATAAAAGTGAAAGGAAAAGAAGAAATATTCAAAGTAACAAAAGGCCCAGAACTTCTCAAATTTGTAAAAGAAAGACATTTATCTACAGATCCAAGTACCCCAAGAAAGTCCAAATAGGATATATATAAAGAAATACACATTTAGACACAATGATGGTCCCTGGGAAGCTGCGATAAATAATAAAAATAAGAATTAAGAAACAACAACCAAGAGTTACCATCAAACTTCTGAAAGCCAAAGACAGAAAATCTTGGAAGTGGCAAGAGAAAAATAATTATAAAGTAAGGGGGGATAAGCCCTGAAGAAATGGAGGGTGTAAGGCACAAGAATAGTATTCAAGAGGTGGAAGGAAAGCAAAGCTATCCCATAAGATTTTATTGTTCAGGAAAGATTTTAGTGTTCTTTCAGACATGAGGTAAAGTATTAATTAATTCATTTTTCCTTTTTTTTGGTCTCTTAATATTAATGTATTTTAACTGGCATGTAAACAAAGTTCTCGTTATCTGATTTTTATTTTCCAGACTCTATTATTATTAGTTATTTCATTTCATGATTTAACTGAAAATGATTGTGGCATATGACTGAGAGGGACAGTAAAAAATTTTGTACTTGTCTTGGTTGCTTTTCTCTCCTTGCTGAAACAAAATGCCTAACGCCCAAAATGAAGGAAGGGTTTATTTAGCTTACAGTTTGTGGAGGTTTCAGTCCATACTTGGCTGGCTCTGAGGCAGAAGGCAGCAAAGCAACAAGAGCAAAGTGGGGAATGGCAGCCAAACAGCAAACAGCCAGAGCAAAAGGGAGGAATGGCTGGAAGCAGTCTCTTTCCCTCCCCTACATTGTAAACAGGCTACCCCCACCTAATGGGCGTGTAGCTCTCACATAATCTCCATGCCCTTCTCTTCCACAGGCTCAGGATGTATACAAAATAAACACCCTGGCTTCCTGGTGAGTCACTTAGCCAAACCTCTAGACTCCCCAAGTTGACACAATGTATCAACCATAACAGTACTCCAGGTACCAAATATGCCTGGTTCACTTCTAGATAAAAAAAAAAAAAGAAAAAAAAAAAAAAGAGAAATTCTTGTATTTCTGTATGTATTCATTCATTAAAGAAATATTTACAAAGCAACTTCAATATGCCAGGGAATGTTCTAGGTGCTGGCGATACTGAGGAAGTCTGTATCTTCATGGAGTTTATTTTCAAGTGATTTATTCAGGAAACATTTCTGGAGCGCTGTCATTCTATACAAGCCCAGTGCTGTTAATGCTGACTTGCACTGGTGTGTGAGAATTAGCTGTGTGCCTCTTTTTTCCAACTCCCTAGTGATGTTATGCTAGTAGTTTGGTATTGGCCATAGGGGAACATCATAGAAATAGGCAAAAATTATTCACTGTGGCTTTTGTGTTTGGAGAGCCAGTTGCTAATGACCAGCCCATTGCTGTAAGCCACCTAGTCACAGTGTCCTTCCCTGACCATTCAATCTATAGCAACCTACCCCCATTACTCAGTCGTGTCACCTTGTGCTGTTTGTTCCCCACCAATTGTTAGTTGCTATTGGTAATTGTCTTGTTCCATTGATTTATTCCACCTATGTGTTCTCTTCTTCTCCTTCTCCTTCTTTGGGTGCTGGTAATAAAAGCTAGGGTTTTGCACATGCCGGGCAAGCGCTCTACCACTGACTTGTACTCCTAACCTCCTCTATTGGTATTTATTTAATGCCTATGATATGCCAGGAATTGTTATAGTACTAGTACTGATATAATAAAACAGAGATTCCCACCCTCATGGGGGAGGTCTTACATCCAGCCAGAGGAGACAGATTAAAGAAAACAAAAAACAAAAACCAATGAAGACAATGAGGAAATGGTCCAGGATGTTAGAAAGTGATAAATTCTGTGGAAAAAGAAGAAAAAGTGCAGGAGGGCAAGTAGGATCTGAGTTATGGCCTGAGTTATGATTCTAAGTGGAGTGGTCAGGACTGGTCTCATTAAGAAAGTTATATTTGAATGAAAACCAGAGGAAGGTAAGGGAATAATCTGTTTGAAGAGTATTCCAGACAGAGGGAACAGTCAGTGGATGTCCCTAGGTGGGAGTGGGCTGGCATATTCAAGGAGCAGCAAGGCCAGTATGGTTGAATCGGTTTTCTTTTTTTTTTTTTTTGGTACCAGGAATCAAACTCACGACCTCAGGCTTGCCAGACAAGCGCTTATGCTGCTGAACTACATCCCTGGCCCAAGGCCAGTATGGGTTTTTTTTGTTTTTTTTTTTTTTTTTTTTTGGTACCAGGAATCAAACTCACGACCTCAGGCTTGCCAGACAAGCGCTTATGCTGCTGAACTACATCCCTGGCCCAAGGCCAGTATGGGTTTTTTTTGTTTTTTTTTTTTTGTTTTTCTCCGGTACCGGGAACCGAACTCACGACCTTGCGCTTGCCAGGCAGGCGCTTTGCCGCTGAGCTAAATCCCCAGCCCCAAGGCCAGCATGGTTGAAGTGAGCAAACCAGGGGGTGATCAGCCAGAGATGAGGTCAGAGAGGTCATTCAGAAGTCAGGCCACGTAAGTCTTTTAGTGACTGCGAGACCAGTGTCTGTGCTCTTTGCCCCTTTAGTTGAGATGAATTAATTCTACTCTATTTGATTTCTGTAATTTAATAATAAATCTTAATATATGATGTATTGTTCATTTTCAGAATTATCTTGGATACTTAAGAGTATTTCTTTACTCTTTTATATGAATTTTAGAGTGAATTTAACTAGTTCCACAATAAATCCTGTGGGATTTTTATTGGAATGAATTGAATTTGTAGGTTTATTCTGAGGGACAAATGACATCTTTATGATCATGAATATTGCCATCCAAAAGCATGTTAAATCTATTTAAACTTTTGTATTCTTTTTATGTCTTTAAAATATTTTATATTATCATCATGAAGGTCTAGCACATCTTCTGTGTGTTCCTAAATGCATTATAGTCTTTATTGAAACCATGAATGGATCTTTTTGCCTAATATATCTTCTGGTTTCTTATTCCTGTGTATAGGGAGATACTGATTTTTGTATATTGACCTCATACCTAGCAGTTCTATCAAATTCTTATTAGTTCAGATGGTTTTTGTATAGATTTTCTTGGGTTTTTTACTAAATTGACAATAATATTACTTGCAAGTAAAGGAAGTGTTGTCTTTTTCTAATCCTTATATCCTTATTTATTTCCCTTATGACACTGGCTAGAAGCTCCAGTACAATGTTAATAGTATCCTGATAGAGAACAGTCATAGCTTTTTGCCAAACTTTCATGTTAAGCATAAAGCTTATGTTTAGGGTAGATACTCCTTTAAAAAGTCTCCTTTCGGGGGCTGGGGATTTAGCTCAGCGGCAAAAGCGCCTGCCTGGCAAGCGTAAGGTCGTGAGTTCGGTTCCCGGTACCGGAGAAAAACCAAAAAAAATAAAAAAATAAAAAGTCTCCTTTCATTCTTAATTTGCTGTGAGTTTTTGCTATGAATCCATGCTTATTTTTATTGATTTTTCTGCATCTTAGAAAAGATTGTACAATATTCTCATTTATCAGTTAACTGGCAATTGCAGTGCCAGATTTCCTAATGTTAAATGATCCTTTTGCAAATAAAGGGAAAATTAATATCAGACCGGGGCTGATGCAAGCCTGCCTGAGTCTGATGCTGCTCCTGCACAACACTGTTTCCTTGGACACTGCAGAGTTAAGATAAACATGGGATATTGTGTATGCAGCCTTATTGTGAAGGTTTGGAGACTGTATCAGGAGACCTGCAGGCCACAGGGTCACACAGGTAGAATGTAGAAAATACTGGAGGGAGATGGAGGCTGTGGCTTCTGTAAGTCAGGGTGAACCCTCACATAACTTTGCTGTCTTGGCAACTGTACATTTTCTGTGAGAGTCAGTGGCAATGGGCTTGGAGGCTTGGGTAGCTGCTGGCCTCCCAGTGACATGAAGATGCAGCACCTTCCATATCTCCTGCCTCCTTTTCTAGGTTATAATCAGTTTGTGTCTTGTCAACTTGAACCCATAATCACATTGTGATACTGCATTTCCATTTCAGTGTTTATGTACTTGCAGATTCTATTTACCAGCTGTTATGGCTTGTGTCTAAATGCCCCCCGAAAGCCTCATGCAACCATAGGCTTTTTCACAGGTGGCCAGATCTAGAGTGTGTGACTGATTCATGGTGCAATGCTAGGCTCAAGGGCACTAAGATTAAGGGTGTGAGTGCTATCCCACCCTGAGTAGCCTGGATAAAATAAAAGGGGCAGAAAGAGCTGTGGTTTTTTTTCCCTTGTTGCTTTACTACCTTTTCCTGACATGAACTGTTCTCCTCTGCAATGCCACCCTGCCTTGGAGCCAGCTGATTATGGACTGAAACCTCCACAAACTGTGAGCTAAATAAACCTTTCATCCTTTATCTTTGGGTGTCAGGTATTTTGCTTCAGCAACAAGAAAAGTAACTAAGACACCAGCATTTTATTTTACTTTTTTTGCTAATATACAATTGAATTAGAGCTAAATTTTATTTTCTTATACTGCCTAGATTGGTTTGGCATCAGTTACATAGGCCCAACACTCTTATTTGCAATTCCAAAATTCAAAAATTCTTAAAAATAGTATTTGTTGTTTTTGAGAGAGGATTGTTCAGCAAACTCGTTTGGCAGCAAAATCTGGTCTGAACTGATATACGCTATTTAGCTTTTATTTAGCACACTTAATATGTTCTGCCCTAGAAATATTTGATTATGGGAAAGTGATTCAGACTGGGCTGGAGTGTTGAATATTACATCATCTTTTTAAATTTCCAAACCCCCAAAATTTAAAATGAAGAATTGAGACGTTTGAACCTGATAAGATTAATTTTGCTACGTTCTCTTGGGGTCATTTGTTTAGTTGGTTGTTTGATGAAGTTTGGGTAAGATAACAATAAATAGTTTTTGGATGTTTTTTGTTTGTGTGTGTGTGTGTGTTTTGAGACAGTCTTGCTATATAGTTCAGACTGGCCTTGAAAACATATGTAGCCTAGGCTGGCCTTGAATTCATGGTAATCCTCCTGCCTCAGCCTCCTGAGTGCTGGGATTACAGGTGTGTGCTGTCATGCCCACTTTAAATTTTTTTTTTTAAGTGTGGGAAACCTGTTTAAGAAGCTATGTGGGTTTCCTGTGTGTGCATGTTGTTGTTGTTGTCATTCTTGTAGGTGGTATCTTGGAGGCAGCAATTATAGGAGGTAACCACCATTCCTTGCACTGGGAAGACAAAGGGAAGGTATTTATATTATTAAAACTCAAGTTTATCTGAGTGGCCCTGCAGAGCTGACTGTCCGATCTCTAAGAAGGTGTGCTACTCAGCTGTTGCCAGAGTTTGTCAAAGCACTGACTGGTCAAATGAACTGATTCTTTGGTGACCTTCTGCCCTGCCATGCCCAGCTTGGCCAACCTTTCTGATTCTCTAGTCTTGCAATTCAAATAAATCTGAGACACTAACAACCAGTTGTTAACAAGCCATTTCACTCCCATGAACTACTACAGATTGGAAACAAATAGGCTTGCTGGGATTATTTTTAGCATAGTTATGGAGTCAGTGTCTTAATTTTACCTGCAGGGGGCAGTCATGGATCATATATTATTTTTTTAATTCCCTAGAATCAATTAAACTAAGTGCTCTTTAGGTATGTATTTTTTGCATTTTACAGATTAGGAAAGGAAGCTA